ACCCTCATAAAATGAGAGGCCTACGTTTGTCGTGAATGTTTAACACGCCCGATCGATGTGGAAGCTACAGTCAGCCGTGTTTGCCACGCCCTCTCGCTGATTGGTCGGTCACCGCTGGCCACGCCCCGATGTTCTTTCACGCCGTGTTTGCTGTCAAAGCTAATACACGCCCACATTTAACTAACCCGTTGTCAATCGTAAGCTTGTAGGTTTACTACACTCGTCTACACGTCCTCACTGTTGTGACGATTCCACTCAGGACTTCATTCAGGCTCTGGTTAGTTCTGAGTCCTGTTCTTAATTCCGGCGGACTACAGAATTCCCTTGTTGCGTGTCGTTTCACATTGTATCGCAGTTGCGTGCGTAGATAACGAAAGGCGATTAGCGAGAATCCCATAGGATCTGGCCTCGTTATCAGTTTTAATACAATATGCTGATTCATTTGATGAATACGATTCATCAATTTCTTAAAGGCCGAAAGTACTTCTCCGTTATGCTTTTGTTCTGTTGGTATATCTAAGTTCTTTGAATCATGGATTGTCTGAACAACCCGTAGAGCACATACGACTATTTAAGACTTTTCCAGTTGCCTGATACTCTTCGTTTATGTCTTAAAATCTGAGCGATATTTATTTAGTTAAGGAACTATTTTCTTCTCAACAGATTACATTTATAGATGTATGCTAGCAAACGCCGACAGCGGAATTTTAAAAGGTGAGTCGCGTGTGGAAATCTTCCAAGTTTGCAAAAAAAGGGGAATTCGAACCCTTAATTTGTATTATTACAAGCATCGTATCCTACAAGTCAACAACCGTCCTCATAAGTAAATTGCCCCTAAGTATATTCACAAGTGCTAGTATCTAGTTCCTCCAGTACAAGATCAAACTGAGGATTCTTATCTAAGTAAGCGTGAACTGTTGCTCCCTGAAAAACAAACTACCACTGAGCAACTGACAAAGTAGCTATTATCTTCTTTCCTCTAATGGATCATCTTTTGAGTCCTTGGCAAGTGGCTGGAGTGAACTATGGGATTAATTATTGGCATACGGTAGGATGAGTATAATCGAAGCTTGGAGTGGGTCATTGTTCAAGAGAAACAGCAAAACGATGGGTGGAATGAACAAACTGGTCACAAATCTTAGAATGAAGACTACGGTAGCAGTTGTGGGACTACTGCATGGATAAATGATGAGGAGGACAATGAATACATCACTACGATAAAGAAAGCTGACCATTCTAGATGAAGGATACCTACGGATAAAGGTAAGTGCAGTGAGAATTCTAGTGTAATCGAGTGTGCTAGGTACATCTACTGGCAAAGACTGAAGAAGCTATAAGAGCAATACAGCACTGAACACAGATGTTTAGTACAAGATTTCTTCGATTATTCGCACGGTCTTAAATTCAGGACAAGACTTCTGCAATAAAGACGTGTTTGATTTTCGACGTGCACAAGGAGCGAGATGGCAGTCCGACTAGTTGGAGTGACTGGGAATAACTGGCGTGTTGAGGGTCAGCGTCACGGAACATCTCGTGTCCAGCCAACAATGCACGCGACTTGAGGCCAGCACCTAGCCACATTTCGTCGATCCTCATCCCATCACGAAAGCATTTCTCAAAGCCATTCGGCCCTTCTTGCCCAACTCTTGGTGCTTCTTCGCCGTGTCACAAACTGTCTTGTGGTCCTGAAAAAGGCGTTATTGTGGAAAAGCTCTAAAAGTGCTACCAATTTTTTCCTATACAAGATTCTCGGCGGGTTGTTGGTCTTGGGAGTCGACGAAAACCACTTTCTCCAAGAACAGGCTTTTTCTTGCATAGTTCTTTGCGTGCTAAAACGAAGAAAAAAGAAATTGGGATGGTAATCTGGTTTAATTCCAGATGGAATTTCACTTTAACAAACTGGATGGGTGTAAAAACCTTTTCTTTGGCAGCTGTTATCGTTTTCGTCTTGCCTAATTGAACCAAAGCTTGAGTCTTATTCAGTTTTTAAGTGGTTTAACTAACTTTATTATTTTCTTCTTATGAAATCTATGCTATCTTATGAAAGTTCAGAAGCTATGAAAATGCAGCTGGTTCCTAGAGGACCGTTGCTGAGTCGCAATCTTCAGTCAAAGAATAAATTGTCTATTTTTTTCTTGCACTGTTTAGAGACTTAAATTACTTGAGCATGTCAAGTCTGAACATGAACATCGTTGGAGTCTGTCATCAATCCGAAGGTGGTTTGCTCTCCAGCTTAGTTTTTCAAGTCGCCCTCACACTCGCTAATAATGCGGTCCCCACGGGAATTACCACTGTATGAAACGAGCGGATGTGCAATTATCATGCACTTTCACACCTCATTGCATCAACGAATTCGTGGGGTTCACCTGTTGACGCCATTTCGGCGCCTATACATTATTTATTCATCATAAGAAGCACTTAACCTGAAGGCAGTACCATGAGTAGATGTGGCAGGGATGGCCAAACTAAGATGTACTTATTTTGTCTCACTAGGAATCGAAAACTTCAGCAGGAATTAGCTGTAATTGTGATGAATTCGTTCAAATATGGCAAGACAAGTGCCGCCTAAACACGCACAATTTGCTCTTGCCAAGTACATCTTGTTTGATCAACATATCATTTCGACGAGAGTCATCAGAAAGACGGGAATGGGAGTAATGTTCAATTCTTGGGTGCTTACTGTTGTTGCCTTGTTGTCACTGTTGTTGTTGTTTCCATTGTTGCCGCTTTTGTTGTTGTTGTTGTTGCAGTTGTTGCTTTCCTATTTGTCTTCATTGAATAGGTGTCGCAGCAAAATTCAACGCCGGGAAGAATTAGTCGTTTCTAAAGTTCCTTTCATTTTCATTCCCTGCAGTTGTGGGACATTTTTTTCGTTTCGAAAACGAATTGTTCTATTCTAACTTGTAGCTTTTCACTTTTGAATATAAAATGTTGAGTTTAATGACACTGCGGCAGAGTTTCTGAATGAAAGCTAGTTATTTGAAAAATGAAAGTTTCGTTAAATTCCTTTAAAACTTTTCATTACTGAGTTTTCTATCTTGAACCTATCTGAACTCTGAAAACGTCAGTAGAGGGGAAAAGAAAACTAGAAGAGAATAACTGACGCCTTATGTGACGACGAATAGCAGTTCTATAGTAGCGTGGGGCTGAAGTAGTCCAAAAATTGTGAAAGAAGGTGGAACTCGTTCTTCAGTTTTTTCATCCGCAGATCATTCAGCAAACAACGTTTTAAGCATTTTGTCGAATTTTATCTTGGCAGTGATGTTTATCCGTCCTGCTCAGATAAAGGCACCCATTGAATGATGTAGTCTACAGACAAAAGCCTCTAAGACCCTTTTAATGTGAATGTGCAATATTTCGCACAATCTTGCACCATCTCTAGGTGAACGCGTAGAGGTGTCGTAATTTGATGGCATCTATAAAGATGGCAGATGTTACAAGACATTTGGTTGCATCTGAAATATTCATAGGTGGAAGCCGTTGACATGGATACCATCGTAGTACTTTTGCTCCGTTAGCCCTAAATACAAGCAAAACAGCCCTAGAAAATTATAAGAAAGGTTTGGTATGCAACACAAGCTCTATAGACGAAATGATGGGAAGCACTTCGCACGACTTAGAATAATAACTGGCTAATAAACTCTGATGAGCCGATATCTTCAACAAATAAGCACCATGAACTGTTTATTAGTTACCGGCTCCAAAATGTAGAGAGGACCAGTTGCAAAATTTTTTACTAAATTATTCTTACTAACGATAATTGAGATTTCCGTGTTCGGCGGCACGGAAATTTGCAGACGTTTAGGACCGCTCCATTTCACTCTTGACGATTTGGTCCTAGTATCTGTAAAGAGAATAGAATAGACTCTTAAAAAACAGATAGATTTGCAAAGTGGACGCTTTTCAGCTGGAAATTTCTACACGTGTTTCGACAAGACCACCTCTTCGAATAGCATTCCTTCTAATCATCCGGCATTTTGAGTGGGAACCGGTAAAATCTTTACTCCACTCGTCCTTATCGGGTGCAGAGTTTTGAGAACTGCTCTGTCCGCTTGAACGACGAGAGATATCACCATGTTCGCACATTAGTAGCATTGAAATTTTTGACATAGGCCTATTTGTTGGAAACAAAAAGAACATTCACTTCACATCTACTTACAAGCCACCTAATAGCACATGTTTGAGCGAATCGATGCGCTTGACCCCATATCAAAGATCTGAAGACCTCGAAATTTCAGGTTCTTAACCAACTCGAAAAGAATTGGCACAGAGGAACAGTGACGAAACCTCTCTACGAGAACTACTTTGCATAACTCGGAGAATTCTAACTTATCACTTCATTTCCTTTACAGGAATTTCTGTAATTTGAAATGCCATAGTTGATTTTGTTGTGTTGCCAAATATATCTCGCTGATAGAAATGGCGTAATACTTGTGGTTTCGTTGCAGAACAGTTAACTATTAATATTTACTTTGGTAGCAGGCTTCAAGAAAGCGCAGAAAAAAAATGCCCAACGCATGTTAGTTACCTAATAATGATAGCAGAAAGGTTGATTAATAAATCCAGTTTATAAAGGTTATTGATTCAATGCCAACTTTTTCAATGAGATCCCTGATTTGATAAGAAAACGAATTGCAGGCACTTGACCACGTTTTAATCACTGTCACCGCTTCCGAAGTAGTGTGGTTTAGTGGACTTGCACAATCAGACAGATTGTTTTCATAGTGCAACGTTTAAGTGGGAGGCGTACGGTGTCCGGAGAAAGAATGCCGGAGCTCACAAAGCAAAATAATGGACATTATGGCAGTTATCATATTAAACGATTAATTCAATGTTTAATATGGTGACATTGTTGGGATAGTGAACGGCTTACCTATTCTAAGGGTTATGAAGCTAGTATTTAGCTGCAGCGCCTCTTTACACGGAGCTGCGCTATCCTATGGATGTGGCTAAAAAATCATAATGAATTGAAGCCGTGTGGCCGTACTGAGTGTGGGTAGATAGGATTTGCATATAAACACTATGTACAGACTAGTGTTTTCAGGGTACGAGAGCCACCGAAGCCGTCGACGTCAACAAACCCGTCGAAGCGGCACCGCGAGCGGCTGAACGGCGAGCTGGAGACCGTGGCCGCGCTGCTACCGTACGACGCAGCCACCATCAGCCGCCTGGACAAGCTGAGTGTGCTGCGCCTGGCCGTCAGCTACCTCGAAGTGAAGGCGCACTTCCACGGTCAGTTGTCTACGTGTTCATTGACGGGCGGCTGTGGTTTGTTATCGAAAGAAGTGCTAACTGAGAACAAAACCACTGAGCTACCCAACTGATAAGTAGACGTTGCGGCCGCCCATAAATAGAAACAACTGGAGTGATTGATCAGAATTTCATTCCGAAACATTGACTATATAGAATATTGCACATTATTGACTAGAGAGTACTACTCAGGCTATTGATATCAATATAAGAATTCGCTGTCGTTTAACTATTTTCATCGTTTCAACCACATGATGAACTCTCACCACATCTTGGTGCTGAACATCGATCTCCGACTTGCTCGTTCCTGGTTCCCTCCACGACCTGTTGGGTTTTTTCCCCGAATTTTACAGTATTTCACGATTACGGCAATATATTTCCCACTGAATTGTATGCAAAATTAGCCAGGTGGCATTAGAGCCGATGAGGACCGTCTAATCATCACCTTCCTTCCTCGTCATAGCACCAAATAGTCAATAGCGCCACTTTCGTTCATTGTTCCGTTTTGAGTCAAAAACAAATTTTGACGAGTTGATCTCGATTTATCTCTCGTCTCAATGGCTGCTGGGAATCTTGGACGACTTCTCAGGTAAAAAATGTTCTTTTTTCACCTCATATCTGTCACCTCAAGATCAAGAAGACGTACTTTCTAACTGCACTGCGAGGGAAACATAAAAATTGTGTTGTGTTCCGGGTTTCGATTCGGTCATTTCGTCAAGCTAAGTATCAGATATTCCACATTGCAGAATTTTGTGTGACCGATCTTTTAACTTTAATCAAGCTGATGTTTGAACTGAGGACCTAGTCCTAATTAGTATGGTGGTATTCAACAAGTGGGTCAAATATACTGCTTTCTTATAGACTTCCGCCTACCGAACCAAATTTCGGTATTTCAGCCACAACACTATTCGTCATGGCAAGTTTACTTTGCTACCGTAGCCTTGCGATTGGGCGACGTCAGTTTGTTCAGCGGTGTTTTTGCGTATTGTCGTTGGGCTATTGTGACATAATCTCTTTTACTGAGTCGCCCTTATCTGGCGTTCGAGATGCAGACGTCAGACAGACACGTTTCCCTCGAAGATTGCCGAAATCGAAATATTAGAGGCTGACTATAACACTATATTGTGAACTTATATATATATATTCATATATATTTTTTTACATATATATATATCCCATGGGCTGAAAGCCTCGTCAATAGATCAGTTTTTCTGTCTCATTTTCTTCACCTAGAAGCGATCACACTCTTTCCATTACTTTATGCAGCAGTAGAGGTCGAAAATTGAAATCTGAGATAAAGTTCTTTGCTGGGGATCCATTATCAGCTAATCATTTCAGCTGAAACATTTGGCCATTTTTAATGTGAAGGAGTCGAAGCATAAAAAATACTAAATCGATCTCTTTTTACCATTGGGGTGAGGCGAAAGATGGTGATGAAACAACTGATATTGGAGTTTTACAGTACTGTTCTAGACGTTTTCTATAAGGTATATAGTACCAAAAGCAGCAAGAATTAGTTAAACATCGCCTTTTTTGCTTTCGCCAAGATGTTAATAGCCCAGGTTCAAAATGGCAAGAGTTTTCTCTTTTTAATTAGATATTACTCTAAACAGAGTAAGACCCACTTCATTTGCAGTCTCTATTACCTTACCGAAGAACAGAGTGTCTCCTCCAGACGCGAGCAGTTTACGGTAGTAGCGGTCGATGGCTGTCATCGATATCTGCGGACACATGGATGGCCACGTAATGGTCGTCCTCCACACCGCCACTTAACCGCTCGAAGACAAACACTGCCATGTCACACCTTCTGACGTGCGAGCTCACGCGGTCATCAGACGGATCTCCACTTCGATAACGTCCTCCAATGCCTTGCAATAGAGTTCAGGGACGGACACGAGGAAGAGATCGCACTTGAAATGGTCGCGTTTAGATTGTTACTAGTAAGCAAGAAAGAGCTGCAAGGTGTGAAGAACTTTTTCCTGGCCAAAGATAAGGATTACTAAGTGGAGAACACATTTTGTTTCTCTATAGATAGATACCATGTGTGACTTCTTTTCCGTGTCATGGCCGTATGTTGCGCAGTGTTTGGTGGTACCCTGCAATAAACACGTGGTTCGATCCTGCGTCCTAGGCTCACCAAGCCTTCCAACTTTTCTGACTTGGCAAAGTGGTACCAGACCTGTTTGGAAGGGTAGCAGTACTGACTTGTTCATCGGTAGGCCAACACAAGTCATTGTGCAGGCAAGATATGCATTCATTTACCTCTAACGATACCTAATGAAGTCATTGGGTATCCCTCACGGATTGACCAATGGTGACCGCTATACTCTTCGCGGGTACCATGGGGAAGGTAGGTTGTGTAGATCCCACATGTTGAAAAGTCACTAAGCCACTCATAATATTTTCTTCCCGAACCTTCTCTGTAGAACGAACCATGTGTTTGTTATCGCAGAAAGATTAGCAAATGGTTTCAGAATGTTCGACTTATTGTATCTTTCCAGTTATCCCTATTTAAATACAAATTCAAGACTTACTTGGGACCGGATGAGAATTTCCATCCAACTTCCGTCCTATAACGAAGAAGCCGTTCTATTTTTGCCAACTATGTTGTATTGAGTAGGACATTTGGCGCAATTCAGAACAGCGCTCTCTGCGATTCTTGTTGGAAACTAGAAACATGTGTCATTAGGCCACTAGGTTCCATATTAAATAGTGACGATTCTTAGCACAGGTTCTATCTCAGTTGGAGTTCCAAATAAAAAAATGGGCTAACCTTCTGTTTGAATTACCAAGCCGTTCATTACTATATAATATATGCATGTATGTAGCACCTATATTATTTGCATACCCATTTATGGGTAAATAAAACAAACTGACGACATAGAAGTTTTTACTCATCCTGTCCACACCCGTGGATCGTAGGCGGATTCTCGATTGGCAATAACAAGCCTCTGTACTCTCGAGAGAGAAATATGCAAGTTAGGAATGGAAACAGTTCCTTTGAACCCCACGGCAGTAGTGAAATTTTCTGACTTCTGCTCTTGGCGTGGGATTATTAAATATATCTAGGAAATTTGTTAAATCTATAGGGTAAGATAGTTCGTTGAATGATATCGGTAAACCGTTGATGGGCAATTTTTTCTTATCAGTTCCTCTGAAGAATGGGCAAAGCATCAAAAGGAAGGGAACTGGTCTTGAACTCGATATTCTTTGCGGACTAACTTGGTATAAAAAGCGCTATTGGAGGATGGCTAATTCATAGTTCTAAGCTTACAGGAAGACTAACGTAAGTTGCTGCTCTAATACAACCATTAAGGATGTTTCCACTGAAGAACAATTTCATGAAGAAACCAGGACTCGCGCCTAGGTCACTTATTCTTGAGGCCGAGTGGACCATTCATTTTTATCGTCGAGTAATCAAGTGTGTGTGTGTTGTGGCAATATGTCGCGTGCTATGTAGGACGGTGAATCTTCGAGAGCGGACGAGTTAATAATTAATCGGACGAGACGCTCTTTCTGGCAACAGATGGGTCGTGTCGAGGTGCAGACGGTCGTGAAGGGTTCGGTGCAACGCGCAATGACTAATTATCGATAGAACAGCAGCTTCAGCGGAAATTTATCGCCAGAATTCCATTCGTCCCAAACATGCCCTACCAGAGAGGCAATTCTTCGTCAGGTGGGTCCGATAATAGAGGGAACAATTTTCGACGGTGTTATTCTACTAGGTCACTTGTTTGGGCTCCCTGCAATCGGTGGAGTTCTGCAATATGACAACAGCATGGTCTTCTAGGATTATCGCTTAGCCTTCTAAAGTGTCACATTCTCATAAGTCTGCTTGCTTACGGTTTTCAGCAAAAATTTTTTTCAAATCGAAAGTTCTTTAAAGGGTTTGATGTACAGCAATTGATATGCTAGTGACCTTACAAAATCTTTTACACATGAAAATACACCGTTAAGCAGGAAAGCTGACTTACTACTTTTTCTTCAGAAGAACCTGAACTGAAGTATAATCCGTAAAAAAATTTTTCCAAAGTCCTACGAGAGAGTTTAAAATAAGAGAGATTTGGATCGGAAGCAAACTTTACAAAAACCTCAGCCACATTAGGTGTAAAACTTTTCCTTCACTTCCTAAGCCTATAAAATCAATTAAAATGTTGGTCTTTAAAATATTAGTACTAACTTAAACGATTAACGTATAAACCATATGATCCTAATTGGAAGTGCCAGATCAAGCAAGACTCCATAGCGCAAATTATCGCCTCTCTTTAGCGTGTCTTACCTCATCGCCTTTCATCTGTGAGTTACCGCTCGCCACTCATTCTTATGCCTATTGCCCACAATCGTTGTCATTCTCCGCAGTACCAACCGTATACCATTCACAGGCATCACAAGCGCTCGTCGATCCGAGTGAGTCCGACTTCGAGACCATTGCTTTAAAGGTACGGTGATTACCAAGGGCTCTGGCCAAGAATCTCTTTTATAGCTTAGTTTAGTCACTAGGCGGATTTCTGCTAATCGTCAATGACAATGGTGAGATCTACTACGCATCGGAGAACATCGAGAACTTTCTGGGATTTCATCAGGTAGATTTCCTTATTTGTAAAGACTAAAAGCTAGTATCACTTCTAATATCTCGTATTGTGAGAATTGTCCTTGAAAGCTATATTTATAAAAAGGTGTGGTGATTTGTAAAATGGATTAATGACTTACAAGAAGGCCAAATATACGGAAAAACAAATTAAGTTTAAAAAACCAACTTTTTCTTGCACTCTGTGCTAAACAAATTCTTCCAATAGTAGAATGGAAATGCTCTCAGCACCTACTGTAATTCAGTTCCAATATTTCATCTGCGATTATTCTAAAAAATCAGTGAAAGAAGCTTCTATTAGACGCATGTCATCTAAATATGCCAAGTTTTAACAGTAAGCAGGAGCATTGCAGTCGGACGTGCTCCATCAGTCACTGTATGATTTGATCCACTCAGAGGACCGCGATGACATACGACAGCAACTGAACCCCGCCTACTCGTTGCCTCCTGGAAGCAACAACCCGCATGACCTCTACGAGCAGGGTAAGCTGCACAACAAAAAAACACCTCTGTTGCTTTTCAATTGCTATTACGACACGTTTGCATCTATTTTTGCCAATAAATTTGAGTGATATGTAAGTGAGATGCCGTTTTGTATATTCCACTACGCATATTTGCTGCTCTTCACCAATAGCTTTCCCACAAGGACACTACCTATAGAACTTAGACATGAAAAAAACGGAATGAATTGTAGAAAGCAATAACTAATGGAAACCGGCAATGTTGAGGTGAGAAAAAACCTGAAACGTGTACCGCTTGGTGCAGTAGAGTAAGAGACTAGTAGAATAGTAGTGTCGATCGACTTGTTGCATTGAGTTCCACTCATATTGGCAAATGCACTGATGTATTGGTTGATCCAGTGGACTATAGGATAGTACTTGGTCAAGTTTGTCCCATTCCATTAACAGTTGACAGACAGAGGACAAACACGAATACATTCCATTTACAGATGGGTGCCCAACCAACTAACTACTATTCTATATTCCACTAGGCCAACCAATACAGAAGACTAAGTCAGCCGAACCGCAATACTTTCGAGATTATCAGCCCGTAGGAGGACGTCTCAAGCTGAGCTGTACACTGCTGCGGCTCACAGTGTGATTATTTCTCTCCTAATAATAAAATTCCACTTTCCTCAATGGGTTTTTCATATTATCTGTGCAATTTCAATTTTATAGGACGAAATGTTTAAAGACGTCGGTCCATTGGTTCGTTGTTACTTAACTTTCCTATACTCCCATTCCTGTTCTTGAGTTTTCACTCAACACTGTATACCAGACAGCAAGGAAGCGCGTTCGATTTCCTAAAAAAATGAGCGATCGCTACTTTTTAGAGAACGCCCAGCATCTTGAACGGAATGTAAACGCTCGCTTTCGTTGCCTCTTAGACAATACCTGTGGGTTTTTGGTGAGCTGGCTTTTTTTCTTTTTACTTTTTTGTAAACCTGAAGGTTGTCGATCATCAGGAATGTGCGGAACTTTTGTGAAGGTACTATGTAACTTATACTAAGGTCCGACCTCACTGCGTGTGGTGGAAACTACTGGAGGCATCATTTGCCCAAATTCTTCCCTTCTATAACTATTTACTCTGGCTGAATTTTAATTTACTTTCTATTTTTTAACGGCAAGGTGCCATACGAAGTGCAATCACAAGGATGCTGAGGTAGGAGCAAAATTCAGAATATCAGCTGCGCTTCGAACTCGCGGGTATTATTTCCGGGCACTCGCGTGCTATGTCCCCCACCAACCTAGGCGTGCGCCCCATTCCGTTTGATGGTTGATTGCTGATTGCAGACAGAAGAAGAAAAGCAAGGGCATCGGTTGATGTGGTGGATAGCCTGTGAGCCTTCTGCAAGGATAATCGCGTGTTGGAGGCCCAGTTGACGTTCCCAGTTTCGCTCACATCTCAGCATTCTTATTGTTTTATTTCGATTGTGTTCTGACAGAAATACTAACATTCATTCGTCCATTTATCCACTTTTCCAAAAATCAAGATGGATGGTCTCAGTTCAGTGTCCATGCAACGAATGAAATCCCATAAATTAAGAGCTCCGAATGAGTAGAAATAATATACTCGTTATAATATTATTGACAAAAAAATAACAGCTACCTCGTCTATAGGGTTTTGATCAATATAATCACAAAGAATGACATTATTAGGTCAGTTTTCTTGATAAGTTACCTAGTTGCTCCAACGGCCTGGTGAAATCGTGAATGGTTTAGAAAGTTTAAATAAAGGCGATGGGATGAAGTGAGTTGCAGTGGTGTTATACGTCCTTTGGATCGTCCATCACATTTGAATGGTGCTGATGAGTTTTGTTAACAACTCGTTCAACGTGTTTTTTCCCTCAAGTAGCAATGGATTCAAATGGTATGAAAATCATTGTGATATCGGAACATCGCCAAATTCTGTCGCAGATTTGTCTACAGCAAAAACGTCTTCAACAGTTAGTGAATCCTCGGGGATTTTCACAGAAAATGCTTGTGTGGAAAGCAAACTTACAACAATACAAATCTATATTGATCGATTACTGGCAAGTCGTTAAAGCAGAGCAACAGCTTGTAAGAAATGTTGACAAGTGCAGTTTGTGCCTGCCTGATAGCCGTTCGAATCCGGACAAGAACATGCATAGACGCACTTCCACAGCAAATTCGCTCTTCATAGCTCCGGTTTCCACTTTTCTTATGGGCATCCTTCGTTATCTGCCCTTCAACGGGGAAATTATGATCAAGTCGAAGCTTCGTATTATATAGTCATGAATTAATCACGGTCTTGTCTTTATCAATCGACTTTTTTTTGAAATTTTCTTTGATTGAACCACTTTTCAGCGAATAGACATGAGGGGTAAGTTAATGTCACTACACGGCCTTCCTTCTTCGTATGTTCTGGGAAGGAGCAATCCCGGACTTGTGATGGGACTCATTACCGTCTGCACGTGAGTGGTTTCAAATTTCGAACTGTCCGACTTTAGAGTGACATCAACCTATTTATAGTAATCCTAGGTCTAAGTCTAATCTAAGTCCACTTTTGCACTTAAGAGGAATACGAAATATTCTTTTTAGTTTTTAACTTCCAGCTAAAGTCTTCCACCGGACGAAAACAACTTCTGAACGGGTGCGAAACGGAGAAATGTGCTTTTTATTCCTTTCCCATCATTTACTCACATAGCACACACAGTTCATTGCCCTCTTAATATTTCTTCTGTCCTTGAGAAAAGCAGTGATCACTTGGGTTCGACATTGCGCTCTTTACAGGCCGTTTGTCCCTCCATCATCCACGGATATTCTAGCAGAAGACCAAATTCTCAAGACGAAACATCAGTTGGACGGCACTCTTGTCTCAATGGATGAGAAGTCAGTGCCGAGAGTTATAGTTTGTTTTCAAGAACGTAAAGCATTCTGCTTATCCAGGGTTCATGCCATGCTTGAATTATCAGAAAGCGAACTGCCAATCTCCTTCTACAGCCTCGTGAACGTCGAAGACGCCATTTGTCTAGCAGAAGCTCATAAAGAAGGTGAGCTTTCATCCTCACTTACGTACAAACCACTTACGCTAGCGTTCTTTGGATATTGTCAGGAAGGTAGGTAGCGATACTAATTCATTTTGCACTCTTGGAGCTCTAATACATCCAGAGAAATACAATACCTCGCCAAATTTTCACTTTTCGTTGTCGTGCTCTACAAAATAAATCAATTCAAAAAGCATGTCCCAAACATTTGGTAAATGTTGTGTAACTGCTTCCTTGTGTCAACCTTACCACTTCTAGTGTTCATGCAACCAGACGAGCGGACATTCAATACTCGTTCTCAATTTTTTGCAAATCTATAGGAAAGGTCCATAAAAAAGAATGGTGCTGATTTCGCCAAGGAGGCAAAGGACAAAACCCAAACTGATTACTGACAACTGCGCAATTCGATCCAATAATGGAACTATGAGCGACCATAAGAAGTGTATTGGGTTTTGATCACATGATGTAAAGCAACATTAAGTAGACAACTGTTTTGAACTAGCTGTAGCCGAACACCTTCGTCATCCCTAAAACGTATGGAATCATTTAAGAAATGTGAAGCTCGTTTTTCCCGTGAGTCGTTCAGATACTCGAGATATGACCATTTGCAGTTATAAAAAATGGATCGTCCGGACTGTTGATTTACCGACTGGTGAGCACGAAGACGTTCCGCACGTACTTTGTGCAGAGCAGTTGTCGAATGTTCTACAAGAACGGCAAGCCGGAATCGATCGGCCTCACTCATCGACTGCTTAAGTAGGTGTATTCAGAACTGATGTTAAATCTACCGCTGAGTCGTAGCTGAGTTCTGAGCCAAAGCATTGATGACTGCAGTGGAAATGACTAATTTCTTCGTAAGGCGTGTGTAGAGACTGACAAATGATCGTATTTGCAAACTTTTTTCATCCAGCCAATTGTTTCCAAAAAGGTACTGAATGAAAAATATGAACTATAACCCGAGAAATCTAACCTAAGTTGTATTTTTAAGGCTAAAAGGCTTTATAATAATTAAGTTGACAAGCAAACCCGAAGAATTTAATTGAAATGGAAAAAAATCGTACGTATAGTTATTGCTGGCAACCGTCACGAAGGCATATTAATGTGCTTACCGTCGCCGATTTATCCCCCACTCTGCCCTTTTCTAACCTTTTTATCTCCACAACCGTAACGCCTACAGCGGTTGTATGGCCATGAGCAAGGTTTACACTGTGAATGATTTTTGCACTATGAAATTGTGTATGGTGTGAATGCGATGGGATAAAACTTTATTTAGAAACAAAATGCCAAAGTCTGAAAATACAAGAACGAACTGTTTTCTTGCAAATTAGAACTCCTTTTCAGCGAAGTGGAGGGCACGATGCTTTTGGAGAAGCGCTCTTCACTGAAGGCGAAGCTGCTCTCGTTCGACGACTCCTTTCTGCAGTCACCACGGAATCTCCAATCGACGGCTGCCCTTCCATTGCCTACGAGCAGGGAGGACACCGGTGGGGAGAGGTGCGATTCTTTACTCATCTCGTTTGCTATTAGATGACACTAAATCTATGCAGCTAAAATCAAAGAAGAAAGCAAGACACAAAACAACATTTGTATTAGGCCTAATCAGCAATGTTCTTAGTGTTGATCAAATTTGTATGCACCGCGTTCCACATCCTCCTATTTTGTACAGATTCAGAAGTTCTATGTAGGTTTGGTGCTTGCAATGTAGTTTAGTGGTCGATCGACAGGCAACTCGGTGTTTGATACTTTGTAAGTGGGACTAACTGCAGATAACTGACCAAGCCCATGGTATTGGAGAGCTCGATCAAAATTATGCGCCAACTTAGTTGGGAAGTCAATAGGAGGACCGTTTATTTAATTTTTAGTCCTTTCACCACTGTGCTGTCGGTAGATGCCGCAGGTGCTTCAAAAAACGACTTCTCCCTCTTTTCTCAGTCATTCATCTCCAAAATGGATAACTGGCCTTTGTTTCAACCTGTGAGTATTCTTTGTTTTGGTTTATTTGTTCATCCAGCTGCTTACAGACAACTTGACTCCGAGTCATTCTGGCAGTCACGGCTGGCTTTTACCTGCTGTATATCACGAGCCTGATAACACTTCGAATTTACAGCCTCTACAGGAATTCGGCATGCCGTTGGCGCCACAATTGCCTTGCGAACTGCCACCATGGACTTCCGATTCCTGGACAGGAGATCTCTATCGTCCTCATTACTACACCTCAAGTAGGTCGATTAGCACATTTCGTAGACCGGAGATGATTCGACGTTCAGTTCAACATTTGATGTTCATGGGAAAGAAGTGAAAAAACTATTCTAAACAAAAGACGAGAATTAAGAAATTGAACTCTCATCGGTATCACTTGAGAGCATCGGTAACATCATATATCCCCTCTGCCTCTTTTGCGAGCTAAGGCTGCTACAGAATATTCTTTTTCTTTGCCGTCTGCTTGCATGAATACCCTCCATCAGAACTTCATTTTCAATTCTGCTGAGAAGTACAAGAACGAGCGACTGATGAAATGGGCATTAGTTATCAGTGTTGTACAAGTCTCTTTTTTTTACCAAGGCAAAAAACTTCTAGTTGGGCTTTTATTCAGCAGTTTTTGATTTTTTCTATTCACTTCTCATAGTGCGACCAGGGCCACATGAGAAGTAGCACCAGTTCTTAGAGGTCCTCGTAATATTAACGATGTTCTGAAGGCATTCAAATAGTATTTTTTGCGAAATAATCGCGTGAGCTTTTTACCGTTACCATGTGTTGTCAAATTTCAGGAACACTAACTCGAGGGATATTCGTATCCATTGTTCTGTTACACGAGAAAGATCCATGTTATTGTTAACGGAAAGAGTTCTGCATCTACCATTCCTTTCTGCGGAGAAAACATTTTCTTAAGAAATCAGAGAATTTTCTGAAATCAGCTTTGTTTTCTTTAGAGACTCAGAAGAAGTTGTCGTTCATTGACAAGCGTTTGTCTTAAATAGTATGTCCTAACTAACGTCCGAACTTGCAAAACAATGCAAACAGGCGGTAAAAGAAGATCATAAAGAGAGAAGAACAAGAGTAAGTCGAGCTTGCAGAGGATGAGAAAAGCATTGGCAAAGTCCATCGAAGCTTCGTCGATTGCAAGACCAAGATGATTGCACTCCAACGCCCATCTGGAACAGTTACAGCGTCCAGAAAGGCAATAGAGAAAATCATTGACGAATACTACTCAGATCTCTTCGATAGCCAACGTCCACCTTCCGTTATATGAAATAAAGGAGGATGGATATGTCGTACCACCGGCTTCCCTTCCGAAATCCGACATGCTATTTCGTCGATGAAAATTCGAACAGCACCAGGTCTGGACAGGATAAGACGAGAACACCAGAAGAACCTTCCGCCAGTTCTCGTAAACACACTGGCTTGGTTTTTCACCAGCTACCTGTCTGAATACAAGGTCTCTACTCAGTGGAAGACCAGCAAGACCGTGTTGTTGTTCAAGCAGGGTGACCTACACGAAATCGGCAGCTATCGCTCAATCTGCTTACTGTCTGTCGTCTACAAACTCTTCACTCGAGTCATCCTAAACAGGAATGACAGAACACTGGACGAAGGAGAGTCATGTAATCAAGCAGGGTTTCGAAAAGGATTTAGTACGATGGACCACATCCACACGAGAGCAACACTTAATGAAGTATCGCGAGAGTACAGAAGACCGCTATGTCTCACTTTCATCGATTTACAAAAGGCTTTTGATTCAGTTGAGACGGAACCACTTGGAGAAGCCCTTGATAGTCAAGGAGTCCCTACTCAGTACATAAAGGTTCTTCGAGAGCTGTACAAAAGTTTCAGAATATATTCTTTCTTGATGGGCTTACGCGAAGTTGATAAATATATTTATTTTCGGCTAACGCTTCGACGTCTTCATCAGAGCCGATGATCCGAGTCGATGTCCACGCTTGTTATTCATTTCGATATGGCGGCTTCGCCTTTATGTCGATTCAGGTCCTCCTCAGCGCGCCATCTCCTCGAATGAGGCATACTCACTTGGTGATGCCCTTTTATACACGATGCTGATGGTCGATATAACGATAATGTCCGGTCATAACAACTTGTTTTTCTTCCGGTCAAAATCATCACGCACATCGTGCAGAAGTCGGTGTTGTTATCAGCTAGTACAAAGCATAGTAATATTTCGAAACCGACTTTCCTTTAACCTCAGTGAGACTAATCAATATGTATTCTTTCTTGATGAGCTTACGCGAGGTTGTTAAATATATACACATCGACTATGTACATACATAATATACATCGACTCGGATCATCGGCTTTGTTGAAGACGAAGACGTCGAAACGTTAACTGAAAATAAATATATTTATCAACCTCGCATAAGCTTATCAAGAAAGAATACATATTGATTAGTCACACCGAGGTTAAAGGAAAGTCCGTTTCGAAATATTACTATACTTTGTACTAGCTGATAATAACACCGACTTCTGCACGATGCAGTGTTCGGAAGAGCAACAAGTTGTTATGACCGGACATTATCGTTATATCGACCATCAGCATCGTGTATAAAAAGACATCACCAAAAGTTTCAGAATCAAGATATCACCATTCTACAACGATAGTAACATTGACGTCAAAGGAGGGGTTAGGCAAGGCGATACCATCTCGCCAAAATTATTTACCGCCACCCTCCAGAACGTCATGCGAACATTGGAATGGGATAATGTGGGAGTGAAAATCGATGGTCGGCAGTTACACCATTTTCGCTTTGCTGATGACATCGTCCTTATAGCGGTTGCTAGCGGAAATTAGGTCTTCGAGTCAGCTCTCGGCACCTTATGATCACTAGCTTTGAGTAGGATGCTCGACTTCGTAGAAGTTGCCACGCGGGACTTTATCGTACTTGTCGCAGAGGAATATCTCAAACTTGGGTAATTAAATCTTTTATAACAATAGTAATTCAAAAATAACGAAATATAAACATTGGTACAATACAGGCTGCATTATTGTATCATGATCAATTAATGAGGGTAATGTTGGTTAGTATCTTTGCTATAGGTACAGAGCTACATGACAGCAATGCTAATATACAACAGTTACCACATACCGCAAGAGAGAACACCTCGGATTGACTACAAGGCGCATCACACATGAAGAACAGCGGGGTGAATACTGTATTGACGCACGGGGCCCTTTAAATATCTTCTAGAGGAGGCGGTGCTTTGGTACAGGTCCAGAACCTTTACCGAAAACACCCGTCGAAAACCCTTGCGTCTCCAGCTCCCTTGTGATCAGATGACTGAGGACGATTTGCCGGCCAGCTTCAAGCCCCTTTGTGTTACCGTACCCGTGATGGTTCGGAACAGATGCAACACACAAAAGGTTCCCGATTGTATAAAAAGAGTGTGGTTCACAAAGGATGTTTATGACAACCAAAGTTTCTCTCAACAAAGTGAAAACGTTTACATGCTGCAAGATCGCAAAGAGATGTGAGAGGCCACGAATATGGTTACCGTAGACCTACGATATAATGAATAAATAGTAACTATTCTGGGAATAGTTGCTATAGTCTTTATAACACCAAACATTAGCCATGTGGAACGTATGCTTGACGACTTTGATAAAGCCTGTGGAAAGATTGATTTTGGGTTAAATCTCACAAAAACGATGTTCATAAGGAACGGATTGGTTTCGTATGCCCCATTGACGCTGAACGGAACGAATATCTCCGAATGCTCCAATTATATCTATCTAGGTCAGGACATCAATATAATGAACGACCTAGCTCCAGCGCTGAGCAGAAGGAAAGGAGCGGCATGGAGAGCTTTCAAGAGCGTTGGGGATGTAGTGAAAAGAAAAAAGAACACCCGACTCCGTGCGCACCTTTTCGACTCAACGGTACTTCCTGCCGTCAGAAACCTGGTCGCTGCGTAAGTAGGATGAAAGATTACCCAGCGTTATCGAATACGCAGTCGAAAGGACGATGCTAGGAGTATCTCGTTTCACATAAGCAAAGGATGGAATCCGAAGCATCGACCTTCGTCAACGATCAAAAATCAAAGATGTCGTTCTGTATGCTAAACAGTCGAAGATAAGGTGGGCCGAGCACGTAATGCGTATGAATGACAACCGATGGACAAGAGCCGTTAGTGACTGGATTCCCTGAGATGTCAAAGGTACTGCAGGAAGACCCCTGACCCGACTGTCAGAGTTCTTCGTGAAGAGCCTAGAAGAAAGACATGATACTTGAAGAATCTCTAGAGCGAGCAGAACCCACTGGGCTACTCTTGCACGCGACAGGGTAAAATGGAAGATTAAGTGGCGCCCGCTCGAGTCTCTCGACGTTCAACGGGACTACAGGTGATACAGGTGATACGTGTGATCGTCAAAAACACGTAGGGGCTTTACGCTTGTCAATGGAAAGCTTCGTCGCTAATAAACCATCTTGAAACCCGACAAAATTTTCTTGGATGGCCGCCTATCGTGCTGACCTCACTAAAAAAACCATTGCTCTCTTCGAAAAAGGCACGTTTCGCGAAGTG